CAGAAAGGCTGTTTGGGGAAGGAGGGGCTGGTTGTAGCAGCTCCCAGAGGTAAAACAAATGTTTTCCTTGTTGTTTTTCCAAATAGCCGTAAAAGAGAAGGTTTGGTTTTGGATCTTTGTCACTGGCCGCTCCATAAAGAAATGAAAACTGTCTCGTGGGTTATCAAGCGCTTGTTTACACAGCAGGGCTGAGGGACACGCTTTATTTTTCTGCGGGTTTTCTTCTAATCCGAAGTGAAACATGACCTAGAGAATCCATGGGGTTCCCTTTGCCTTTTGCAGCCCAGAACCTGCAAAGGGGGTGACTGTGTTCACTGGTGTGGATATCACACGTCCCAGGTAGATCTGGTCTCACGCACATGACAGATCTGGTGTGCTCCACCCGAACCCCTGCAGGAGCCTGAGTCCTCCCTGGGAGTTGATGGACAAAGGAGGGCTGACGGCTGGTAGGACAGAAGGCTGGAAGGGAGCTCAGAGCTGTCTTCTCCTCTGACACCCCTTGGCGTCCCTTCCCTGAGCACACGGGAATCAGCCTCAATGAGGTGCACCCACCAGGTGCTGCTACCTTCTCTGGTCAGCCTCCGGGGGGCAGAGTTTGGGGTCCAGGCAGGAGCCCCTCATGCAGGAAAGTGTGCCCATGGTGGTGCAGATCGCAGGGAATGGGGGCATGGTGGGAATAATTCTGTCAACAATTTCTGCAGGCCCCGCACTCAGTCATGTTTGAAGCTCTTTGTGTTCCTGACCTCATTACTCTTCCCCGCTGTCCCAGGAGGCTGACACCATTTCCCCACACCCACTACTTGTTATGAATAATTTAGACATCACCTTAAAAAATCTGGCTCAACAGGATGGAATGATACATCTGACGGCCTGCACAGGTTAAAGGGACGATAGGATGGCTGCTTATTGCTGCCATCCTATATAGCAAATAAACTTAACAACCCTCCTCTGGCTTTGTTAATGGTGCAACAACTTATTTTTTAGAAGTTGACTACATGAAATCCAAACAGGGATGGCCTGGATGCAGGAAAGGTCAGGAGGACAGACGTGAGGGGAGCTGGAAGCAGAGATGAGGAGCTGTCTGTCCATGGATGGTAATGTCACAGGGAGCCACATCACATGGGACACAGAGCCTGGAGCTGCCAGCTGGCCCTCCCTGGGGGAGAGCGACAGCAAGAGGACCAGGCGTGACCCCCTCGGGCCACTTCCAGGGGCTGCTGCCTCTCTTGCCAGCCCCAAGGAGACAGGCTCCTCACCCCTCTTCCTCCCAGCCTTGTGCCATAAACCTGATGACCACACCCTGGTGGAGATGGTGGGGGCCCTCAAATTTGGCTCGGGGGTATTGGGCATGACATACGCAACCCCGAGTTTTGGAGCCTGCTTCCCTTAGGACTGCATGCCCTATCACCCCTGGCCCCCTTGCATGCTCACACGTGCCCAAACATATATGTACAGTATTATTCAGTGTGTCAGGATACTCAGTACTGGCTATGGAGTCTTTCATGGGAGGGTGATTCAGTCTGTGTCACTTAACGTCTTCCTTGCAGGGCAGATGAGTCAACTAACCTTATTCAGCACGTGAATTAATTTCCCTGGGGTAAGTGAGGGCGTAGCCATGCTCTTAAGACCCACTGGCCTGGAAATGGGTGTACATATGTGTGTGCATGTGCATGTGTGTGCACACCTCTGTGAGTGTGCATGTGTTGGTGTGCATGTGTGTGACCTCCTCTGAGAACTTTGTTGGTCCCCTCTGCCTTCATGGCGGGCACGTGCACGCGGCAAGCAGATCAGACGTTTCACTGAACTGAGGTAGGGTCTGAGGCCCGGGAGGGGGTGGGATCACTGGGGCATTTCCCTGAAGCCACCTCTTGTTCCGTGAGAGGTGGGGGAAGAGTTGGATGCTCTATAAAGGTCTAAAAGAGAGCAATCAAATCCCTTACACTCGGGCTGTCTATGAAATCAGCAATCACAGGAAAGCAAGCGCTGTCCTGAGTGGCTCAGGTCTAAGCCTGCAGACAGAGCAGCTCTGGAAGGAAGCTTTGTCCTCGTGAGGGGAGTGGTTGGTTAGTGCTGGAGCAAGTCTCCCCTGTGTGCTTTTCTGCCTTCCCGGGAGTTGGGTGAACTATCTGTCTCTGGCGGAGGCCACGTTAGTCAGGGCTCCAAAACACCACAGCTGCAGTTTCTAGAGTCCAAGAGACAAGATTACAGTTTTGTTGCCTCTTATAAGGAAAGACCCCAGTTTTGGGGTTGTAGCAGCGGGAAGAAGGAATCATTTCCCTTGGAGTTAGAGGCAAGCACCCTGAAGGTGCCACCCCGTGTGGGGAGGTCTGAGTGTGAGCCCCGTGCATGGTGGAGAGACCCAGACAGATTCTGACCTTCCGGAGGGGGCGCCAATGTTTCTCAGGCACTGGAGTTCTGCACCATGGAGATTAGCTTCTGCCAAGCATCGACGTTCACAAGTCCCCAGTCAGACAGCTGTGCCCAGTAAACTGGTCCATTCTTCCCTCTGCACATAGGCCGCTAACTTCCTTTCATTTCTACTCCTCCAGAATGCAGAGTTCCCGAATCCCCACCTCCCCGGCCCTGCCTCTTCAACCTCCCTCCCCCCCAGGCCTCTTCTCCTTTAGGCAGTCTTCCCTGTCCGGTCAGAGCCTCCCCCTGCCATGGTCCGGAGCATCCCCGGTCTTTGCTGGGAGTGCCTGGCAGGGTGACGGCCAGCAGGGGAGATAGGGGAGTTTGCTTCCAGACTTTTCCAACAGAAGACCTCCTCTCCTCTGGGGGACCGTAATCTGTAATGTTGGCCAGTTTTAAGGAATAAAAGGATTTACATCCAGGAGCTTAACCAGGTAGGTGAGGCCAGTAAAAGCGAGGCTATGTGTAGTCAGGGCATGTATAATGAGGATGTCTTATCATGAGTGTGGCCACTGAGTGTGCCCATGGGGTGCCCACAGTGTGGTGCGATCCAGGACCCAGGTGCATGGTGGGTGAATCTCTGTTCTTCCCGACTTCCCCGGGCCTTCTGTCTTGCCATGAGTCAAATGGAAAGTTTTAGGTCCCACGGCTTCATCTTTGTTGAAATCACTAGTACTTTAAAGAGATTATTTATGCCAACAACTGTTCATCTGTTCCCTTAAATGACCTAAGGCCATGACCCCAGTTGCTTTTACCACCTCCCTCCCTTTGGTCTCTGAGATTTTGGGGGCAGGAAAGACCTTCCTGACACTTAGGGGCCTTTGAACACCAATAACAAATCAAGGAGGTAAGGGGCTCACGGGGGGTTTTTGGGGGGATGTGGCATCTATTTCTCTGGAGAGACCACATGAGCAGTTTTTAATTTTTGCTACTTAGATTGCATTTTCTTGTGCTGTTGGATATTACCAAACATTTTCATGAACAAGAGGGCAAGAGCAAGCAAGGGCCTATCATTCTCTTGCCATTTGGTATAAAGTTTCTCCTACTTTCTTTCATTCGGGTGTCTGCTGCCTCTGATAACATCTGGGGAATCAAGAGACATCTGGCTGATAAAAAAATATTTCTCCCCCGAGTCCAGAAGCGTGAGTTCAAAGCTGGCCTTTGCCAAGACCGCCTCCCTGCACAGTGGCCCATAAGCCCTCAGCAGTCTCACCAACCGAAGGGCCCACCAGTCCAGAGGAGATGGCAGAGAAGGTAGCTGACCGTCACACGGAGGCCTGCTCTGGGCGTGGGAGGCCCCAGGACACGTGGCCTGGGGGAAGGATGGTTTTGGGGGGCCAGTCATGGTCCTCCACTTGCTCAAAGGGAGGAAGGAAAGAAAATAGACTGTGTGGCCCCAGACGGCAGAGGTAGAACCTGCCAGGTAAGGAGACTTGCAGGGAGGCAGAACTTTCTATTGATCGAAGGGCAGGGTTGCCTCCACTCCCAGGGAGAGATAGGGGAGGGCGGGGCCGCCCCTCAGTGAGGTTGCTGAAGAGGGTTCCTGGGAGGAGACCTAGGTAGCCAACTGTGGAACGAGCACATGCGACCTGGTGTCCTTAACAAAGTCACCTCTCCGCCCCAAACCTTTAAAAACTCACAAAATTGTTCATTTTTAGTGCAAATATAATAAAGCAGGACGATAAAGGAAAGGATGGTGCACATTGAGAAATTTATAAGCCGTTTGAGAAGTGACTGTTCATCCAAGATTCCAGTGCCTTCGGTGATCTTGCTCGGTACTTGATTCTCTTCTTCGGCTCAAAGGAGGACAGCTCCTGACTGGTCACGGTCCAGCCAGCCCTGACGTGTTGAAGGGAGGGGTCCACAGGAAAGGTGGGAGAGGAGGACGGCTGGCTTAGGTTCCCTCCAAATCTACCACCGCACACGGTCCATTCCCATGCGCATGATGGCAGCCAGGCCAAAGAAGGCCCCCAAATGCTTCTTTTCGGGGCACACTCAGGGCCCGCCTGATGTCCTCCATCACCCCGCCCCTCCTCCGCCCTGTGTGTCCCCATCTCCGAGACAATCCTGGTGGCTGGGTTTGCCGCCGCACAAAAGGCATGCTCAGGCAACTCAACCATAAAAGCGGCTCGAAGGAAGACCAGCTGTACTTATGAATAAACATCCCAAGCACATTAATCTGCTAAAGGCTTTTATGAGGGGAAACATAAAATTTCAAATAGAGGGCTAATGGGAACTATGTCCGAAATGTTGGAACTGGTGATGCTCTACAGTAGGGAACTGCCCAGAGAGATCCATAAAACCAAATGGAATTAACAACTGATTCGGTTTTAAGACCCGGGCCCACTCACTCCCACACCTGAGTTGTATATCTTATCTGAAGGGCTGTTTCATGTTCCCGAATCAGCTCGGTGTGCAAGCGAGCTGTCACGGTTTTATGGCCTCGCCTTGAAAGAGCAGGGCATGTCTTTCCCGGAGAAGAAGGCTAACGAGAGGTAAGATGCAGGGATTATGGGCTCTCCCACAAACCCGGGCCGGCAGATGCGCCTCTTTTCTGTAATCAAAATGAATATTTTCTTTGGATCCAGCTAGGAAGACCCCGTAAAACAGCCCGGGAAGAGGAGACGTGTGCCAGGCCAGATAAGAGATTGGAAGCAGACGGTCGAGGAGAGCAGGTGTCCAGCTCTTTGGGGTGCCCACCCTTCCCCCTCTGGAGGACAGGGGTTTAAAGACTCACAAGGTGCCTTTCTTTTTTTAAGTGAAAAGTGGTAGGTGGCATATGCTTAGCATTGCTCCCTGCCTAGGCCTTCAGCTCTGTTCCTGACCCACCCTCTTTCCCCTGCTGGGATTACATGGAGCTCTCTTTTGCATTTTTTTCCTTCTTACTTTGTGCCAGGCTACTCTGGCCTGCAGGCCACCCCCTTCTCCCCCCCCCCCCCAGATAAGAGCCTTTGGAGCAGTAGAAAGAGCTTAGATTGAGGAATCAGAGTAGGTTCAAGTTCCCACTCTGCCCCTTACTGGCTTAGTTGGACCTCAGGCAAGTCACTTACTTTTCATTTTCTCATTGGGAAAAAAAGAGAAAACTGCCATCACAGGTGCATCATGGTCACTACCTATTTGGGCAGAGTCTGATGGCCAAGGGTCATAGTTAACGCTTGATCATGAGCAGATACTTCCCCTTCTCTGAGCCTCAGTGTGCTCAGTCTATTGAATGCAGATTATGACCCCTTGCTGGGCTGCGAAAGGGATCAAATGAAATATGCTAGCAGAGTCCTTGTCCCACATAGGCACTCGATGACTCTTCACTGTCACTGTCGTCGTTTAAGCAGAGATCAGGCTGCTCGGTCGACAGTCTGACTCACCCAAACACCACAAGGCACGAAGTCCAATAAGGGGGAATCCAGGCATGCATGCCCTGCACCCCTTGCTCATGATGGAGTCCTTATTTAATTCCAGTTTCAGCCTGTCTCTGGCCCTTGGCTGCTTTTCACTGTCAGACCAGCCCATAGGCTTTGGGATCATGCTATGAACTTGGCTTTCCAAGCTGGGGGGTGCTCAGTACTGTCTAAGGATTTGGCTTGTACCCCCCTCGGGCCGTTGTAGCCTGATGCCTTAGACAGGACCTCCTGGGCTGGCTCCAGCCCTGCATCCCCAACACCAGCTCTGGGCGGCTCCGCCTCCCTCAGGTGGGTCAACTTCAAGCATGAATGATTAGCGTGGGGCCAGGTGGGTCCTTGAACTCTCAGTGGGACCTTTCTCTAAGGTACATGGTTATCTAACCAGTATGTTATACATCTGAAACTAATATAGGCCAATACTGAATGTAAACTGTAACTGAAAAAAAAAAGAATAAACGATTAAAGATGGGTGAGGAATAAGATCATCACAGATCTCTCCCCTCCTGCTCTGGGGGCCAGGCACCGCTTTCCCCCCCTGCCAGACTCACCCCAGTTTGACAGCGAAACAGCTAAACACGTGAGTAGACACACGTGCTAACAGCAGTGGGCGGGACTGGACAGCGTCAGTGATGTAAAGTGGATGCCGCCCCCAGGGTGCGGTCTTGGGGGGTCACCCCTCCTCTAGGCGGGAGTCAACTCAGCTCCTCCTCTTTGTCTGCCCTGCCTGCCTCAAACTACTGCCTGTGGTTCTTCAGTTTTTCTTGATTTTGAGGGGTGGCGTCTCCCAAGTGAGCCTGAATTTATGGAAAGGTGGATGCCATGGTCTTAACCTCCTTGTTCCCCCATGTTGCCCACCACAGGGCAGAACCCCGATGAAGATGGAGGGAGCCCAGGCCCCATGGAGAGACCGTGCCGAGGTGTTCAGCCGAGTCCCAGCTTCCTCCACCGCTGGACATGGGAGGGAGGAGGCCTCAGGACAGCTCCTGCCCAAGCCACTGCCTGGCCACAGCCGCACGAGGGCTCCAGGATGAGAACCGACTAGCTGAGCCCAGTCAACCCCTGGAATCCCGAGAAGTAATAATAATAACAATAACAGACCGTGGTTTAACACCATTGGGTTGGGGTGACTTGTTGAGAAGCACTAGAGACCTAGATCACTGGTCACTTAAACATGACTTTTGGCTGTTTGTATGGTCATGAGAACCATAAGCCATGCCCCTTGGAGAGGCTTGAAGTGCCACCGCCAGCTGGAGGTGGGTGGTGGCTCCAGGTGGTGGCAGCGTCCTACCCAACCTGCATGCCAGGCCTCAGGACTACCAGGGAGCTGGCACTATGGGATTCCTCTGGCGGGGCCCCTCACCGGGGGAGGCATTGGCTGTCTGGCCCTTGGGGAGCGACCCACCCTTCCACCTCCGGCAGACCTGGGAAGATATCCAGGGCCAGCTGTGTGCTTTGGAAAGCTACTTCTCAGCTCTCTCTCCTGTGCAGAGGTATAAGATTAACCTCCGGTTTTACACTCTGGAAATCCAAGTATCATATAAGGTTCAGTGTTTTTCAGGTGCAAGTTCTTTATTTGGCTCTTAGCAAACGAGTTCCATAACAAACTCAATCTGAATCTGGGAACTGCAAGAGTAAAGGGGTTTCTAGTTACCCTCTGGCCCACACTCAAAGTCCTGGTGTTCCCTAAGGAGTGGGTGTGAAGGCTCCGGATCCACAGTGGTCTGGGAATGGAGATTTGGAAGAGAGGACAGAGGTTCCCCGGAATTACAATACTTGCCATTAGCTGGTGAGCAGGTGGTCAGAGAGAAAGGAAGGCGGGGAGGGCTGTAATAAGGGCGTGTGGTACGTACTCTTTCGAGATACATTCTCGGCAGCTGTGCTCACCTAGCAGCCCTGCTATGGACCGAGTGTGTCTCTCTGAAGTCCATTTTTTGAAGCCGCAGTCCCCAGAGTGATGGTGTTTGTGGATGAAGGATAATTCGGTTCATGTGAGGTCATGTGGGTGGAGTCCCCATGATGGGTTAGTGCCCTTGTAAGAGTCCAGAGCCCTCTCTCTTCCATGTGAGGACAGAGCAAGAAGGTATCCTTCTGCAAACCAGAAAGGGGGCTTGCCATTTAATCCGCTCAGATGCCAAATCTGCCAGACCCTTGACCTTGAAGTTACCAGCTTCCAGAACTGTGAGGACTAAATGCTTGTTTAAGCCACCCAGGTTATGGTATTTTGTTACTGCAGCTGGAGTGGACCAGGCAAGCCCTAAGACCTTATTTTTAACTTTGTCTGGTGGGCCTGGCTGAATGCAGGAAGTTATCTCCTCCAGCCTGATTCCTTTACATGCGAAGACACTTGCAGCTGGAAGACTTGCCCAGGGCCACACAGCTGTGCAGAGTAGTCCCTCCACAGCGTGGGTGGTCTGCCACGGCAAGGCCTTGGCTTTGACATCAGAAATGCCTTGGCTTTTAATAGTGACTGTCCATCTACACTGAGGAAAGCAGAAAACAGAGACAACTACCCAGTGAATCCACCAAGCAGACAGACCCCCTTGAGGAAGAGGAATTTCTTGGTGGATATAGGTTCTATTTAGTGGCTGGAAATCCCTGATATGTGCTCAGGATTCTAGGCAACTTTGTAGAGATAAGACAGAGACATAAATAATCACGCCTTCGTGTAACAGAGCCTAGTTCCCTTGCAGATCTTGAGCTCACAAGCAGCCCAATTTCAGTGACTTTGCAAACTACTTAAGTTCAAGTACCAACTGTGATACTACTAGGTTGTGTGACCTTAGGTAAACCACTTACCCTCTCTGTGTCTCAGTTTTTGCTAAAGCAAAATGGGTAATAGTAGTATCTCCCTCAAGGAATTTTTGTGAGAACTTTTATTTTGCTCTCTTTCTATCTTAGAAAAGTTCCTGTTTATTAATTGCAGTACTATCGTCATTATTTTTATATGAACTTTAGTTGTTTTCATTGTGACCAGGCGTGGGAGCTTGTAGCCCATAGAGGTTACTCGGTGGTGTGTTTTATTTTGACAGCAGGGTGTTTAACAGTTACATGAATTTGAATGGCGCACGGGGTGCCCCATCTCCACCGCTTGCATTTCATACATTTATGTTACCAGCCAGGCCCCTGCAGGCCCTTGGATTTGTAACTTGTGGTCTATTAGGAAGGTCAAATGGACAGATTAGGACATGGCATTCATGGGTGCGAGAGTCTCTGTGAACGAGGTGATGTCTGAAGTCTGTGAAGCCATGCTTGGGGTGCACCATGGCAGCGGGTAGAGCCGCAGTCTGTCCTTTTTTCCTGCCGCTGTACCCACGCCCGTGGTGGAAGTGGAGAAGAGTTTTCAACAGTGACTGCCCCCACGCAGACACTCACATGCACCCCAATATTTCAGTCTTAGCCTGAAGGCTGGAAAGGACCAATGTCCTGCCGCATGCAGTGGGGCGGGAGGAGCTCCCTTATCCTGAAGAACGTATCAGCCTTTCTGTTCTAGTCATAAGGCCTTCACCTGATTAGGCAGAGACCACCCACACCAGGGAGAGCAATCTGCTTTACTCAGTCCACTGATTCAAATGTTAGGCTCACCCAGAAACCCCCTCACAGACACTCCCCCAGAGTAGCATTTGGCCTCGTCAAGGTGACACATGACACCAACCATCACACACACCCTTGCAGATGTGCTCCTGGTTGGGAGCTGCCCTCGCCTGTCACTGTGAGCGGTGGTGCACGCTGGCACAGCCATGCCGACGCCTTGGCAGCGTTGGCTGGTCCTGACCCTGGTGGGGGGGGGGGGTCGCGCATTGTGACGCTGTCTGGGGGCAGTTGTCGGCTCAGGCTGGAGCTCTGTGACAGGGGCTTCCCACTGATAAATGGCCTGCAGCGAGCCACTTCTCTTTGCTCTGGTTTCCTTATAGGACAATTTTCTCCAGATTCCAGAGGGATGCAAGGGCCATTTCGATGCCTGTTACGGTGGCTGGGAAGCGGAGGCTGGGGGCTCAAGGGCCCTTTGCCTTCCTTCCCGCCTCTAAGCTGTGCTCTAAGCAGGGGCGCGTGTCTCCTCGTCCTCAGGAACGTCTGTCTTCACTGCGGGGACTTTCACAGGCCTGGCCTTTTGGTTGGTATGTCCTCACTTCTGGTCTCTCTCCTGTACCCATCCCTCCCGTGTGTTTGTTTTGGCCTCTGGCTGCTCGAGTCCCACCCTCCTAATGGCCCCCAAGTCCTGCTTCATTCTGGGGTCCAGCATTCAGAGGCCCAATTCTTGCCCATGTAAGGTGCACTCTCTGAATGCCCCGTCTGGAATAAAGCTGATGTGAGGGTCTCCTCTGCCTATCCCTGCGTCTATTACAAGTTGGTTTGGAATCGTGGTAGGAAAAGAGATGTGTTACTGATGACATCCCTCAAATTCCAAATGAGCTTTGTAAATAGTAAGGAAATCAATCTTTTATCTATAATATAAGTTCCAAATATTGCTTTTGGGTTTTCCTTTGTTGTTTGGTGTTTGTCTTCTTTATATGGAAATCTGGTCAGATTGATCAATCTCGTATTTTATGCCTATTGAAGTTTGTCGTCACATTGAGAAATGCCTTTCCTTGAGCTGGAGTATAGAATAGGTTTCCCTGGGTTTTCTTCAGGTACCTTTTCATGTTTGGTCTCTGTGAGGTCCTACCTAGGACGGCTTGCCACCAGGAGTCTGGATGGACCCCGAGGGAACGGGACATTGGGAGGTGGCTAAAGAGGAAGGGTCCGGGGAACTCAGGCCCCCATGTCTGTGCTTGGGTTGTGCTGTTTGGTGTGCGCAGCGCTGTGTCAGACGTTGGTGTCTTGAGTTGCGTGCATACTTCAGCACACCCAGTGGGTAGGAGGAGGAGTCCCCGCTCTGGGCCCAGAGAGGGCCGGGCTTTCTCAGCACACTCTGTGACTTGGGTGGTGATGGGATTGGAACCCAGACCCCCTAACCAGAGGGGCTGGTTTTCTGGATGCAGATGCAAGCCCAGCTTGGTTCCTGTTGAACCAGATTGCTCAGGGGACAACAGGCCCAGCTCTGAGGCTGACAGGCCGTGTGTCCCTGAGCCCCCGCTGCACGTCTAGAGGCCTGCTGCTGGGCCTGGGCCTGGCGGAGCTCAGGGGCTGCTCCGGACGCTCGCCCGGCGGGGTGACCCAAGGACCGAGGCAGGGCTACCGCCATGGCCTCAGAGGAAAGTGGAGATCGGCCCCCTCTGTTCTGAGTAAAATCAACAACAGGCTGCAAATGTGGGACCACTTAGAGACCAAAGTCTTCCCGCTTCGGTGCTTGTTCCTCTCTTGCGCTCCTTACACATGTTACAAAGGAACGTGCCTTCGGGGGAGCTGCGTCTCTCGGTCCCACGTGCCCCAGCAGCCTGAGAGCAGGTGACGAGCAGCTCGGGTCCTTGCACCTGCCCACCAGCTGTCCCTCCCCTTCCCCCTTCCCTAACTTTTTGTTTTTCATAAGCATAATTAAACACTGAAAAGTTTTTGGGTTCTTCTCTGATCCTCTTTATATGAATTAGGGTGAGTCTGGATGAATGTGAGCCTGCCTTGTCCTGGGTGATTGTGTGTGTATGTTTAGATTTTATGTATTAAATCTTGCACTATCTCTTGTTCCACTGATGTGGTTAATTCTGTGTGATCTTTGGTCGATGCTGCTGCCTCGCTAGCTTCCCTACCTGCTAGGTGCAACTGATTTTATAGTCTATAAGCTGAAAGGCACACCTGGCCTTGTGGACTCCGTCTATCGTGAAGTCACAATTTACACGGGCAATTCAAACTCCTTTCCATAATTAATGACTCATATGCTATATCCCAGAGCCACTTGGAAATATTTTTTGGGTTCCCTGCTGTTTCGGATTATCCATGCTTAACTCTTCCATTAATGTATGTAGTTAAGAATTTCTCCCACTCTTGTGGTTCAACTGAATCAAAGGGCTAAGAGGAAACTATCAGAGTGAACTGACCCACAATGAGGTGCGAGTGACTGACACACCACCCAAGTGCTGGGGACATCGGGGAGGGCATTTTGTCCCAGAGAGGGATCTTACTGACGCACAGAAAGATCCCAGTTGCAAAATCACAACTAGGTGGGCCAGGGAGGGAGGAGGTGCTGTCACGGTGGGAGCAGATTCTCTTCTGTTGCCCTGGCGCCGATCGATGCAGCAGCCTGCGGGCTGAGTACTTTCTGTCGTGGGCATTTTAGTGTTTCATCTGTGCGGGAAACCCTCCAGGGTGTCGGCTTCTTACCTCCTGTGACGGCAGCCGGAGAGGCCTGCGGATTGTTCCTCATGACCCCTGCTGCTGGGGGTTGCTGTGATTCGATTTAACGCCAGTTGATTAAATGCACCCATTTAGAACTGACGCAAGAGGTGCCCAGAAGCAGGAGCCATTTAGAATCCTTTCTGGCCGGAGGGGAAGCAGCTAGGGTCCAGGTCCTATGCCCAGTGGCAGCGGGGACTGAAATGAGTGTCCAGCCGCTGGTGAGAGCCTTCTGTGGCCTGTTCTGCCACACTCTGCCTTTCTGTCCTTACTTCCCGCCTGTTCCCTGATCCCGTGTCCCCAGATTTCCTGTGGATTCTGA